CTTGGTGATAGGACAAGGAAAAGGAGTGGTGTTGAGAGCAATTATGCCCCTAAACAGCCTTCGCTCTAGAAAGTGGAATGAGAAGCGAAAAAGAGTCATGCTTCATCTGACTGGTTGAGACCTGCTGGTTATTTTATATCTGTGGTTTTGGGAGGGAAAATAAGTCCTTTTTTATTTAGCTCTTTAGAATTCGCCCTTCAATCTGATATTCAGGTACCTCAGGTTCCTTTTGGATGAGCCATGAAAGATAAGCATGAAGTTTTAATGCTTTATAGATACCAAGAGGCAGTAAGTGGAAATGGTCCATCTTACTTTGGGGTGTGACTGCCAATTTAATGTAAGAAATTTAAATAAGTTTGCTACTTTAGGCTACCTTTTTTTCTGCCAGGATCTAAATAAACTTGATTCATTTAAAGGGCCAGTTTCAGTTGTTAAATTGGTCAATTTTAGGTTTGAGCTTAATTAGTACTTTGGAAAGGTTTTGCTTGCAAAATTTCAGGGAGAAAATGCATGGCAGTTCTCTCTTGGTTGGCTCTCTTTTTCGGATATTTCCCCAAGGAAATTTGATAGCCCATTGTAACTGGTGAGAGTTTTGCTAATTGATCAGAAGATAAAGCATGCGATTATAAGCTGAGACAGTGTTGAAGATATTTTGCTATACTGGCAGCAAAGTTTGACTACAACAAAGCAGTCGGTCCACAGTCTTTGTTCTCAGGAGAAGTATTTGCTGTCTTTATTTTCTCCTGCACACCCCCAATCATTCTGCTTGTCCCTATCTTATTTTACTATTTGTTACTTTTGCAGTTGATTGTATTTCACAAGGAAAAAGAGGAGGGAAGCAAATTGAATTATACCTAGCCAGAGAAGTTCAGGAGGATAAGAGGCTCTTACAGCAATATGGGGGGGATGAAGTAGTGGAGAATATCCATTAATTAATGAGGTGAATGAAATTATGATGATTCTAAAATGGCAGATTTACTTAGCTCCTTTTAAATTGATCTTTAAACAGGGTAAGTTTATTAAAATATTTTAAAAAGGGAAAATAACTGAAGCCCTGCTGGAATAACAGTTCTAAATAATGTTACTGTAGTTATTCACTACAAAGCAGTGAATAGTTGGCAATATTGGAACATGTTCAGTAATACCACGTTTTGCAATGTTTGTTTGGTTTTTTTAATGGAAAATTCCCAGTTCCTGCATTTGTGTTCAATACATAAAACTCACCCAGAAGCATTGTTTCTAGATCTCATGGTTGTGTAGAAAAGCACATGAAAATGTGAATAGGAGTTCAAAATCAAGAAGCCCAAAAAGAAGTATGTCAGATGCAGTATGTGCTGTTTATGTATATGACATTAGTGAGACCGGCAGTGAGATGCTACATCTGATTTTGGTGTTCTTTTTAAGTGTTGAAAAATTATATGAAAGTTGTCTAAAAGGGTTTGAGGGATAGAAGAATGCTTTGTATGGACAGACTGAGCGATCATTGATCTTGGTTTTGTTTTTTTGTTTGTTTGGTTGTTTTGTTTTGTTTTTTTCAGATTAACAACATTTTCCCAGTGACTGTGTTAAACGTAGTATAATGGATTCAATTTGACAGTAGGTTTGCTACTCCTAGATTACTTTCTGCGAGCCTTTCAGAAGCAGTCCACAGATTAACAGCAGTCCGTAGGACCCGGTTTGGAAGTCATTGACTGTCTTATTCTTATGGCAGAGGATGGCCTTGTCCAGCAGCCCTTGCATCACTGTGCAACTGAAATTACTGCCCAGGCACACCAGAACCCCACTGCATCAAAGTGGAACAAATTGGAGGCCAGATCACTTACTCCCATGCAGCTGCATATGACAGAAGGTCAACCATTCCTCTTGCATCTAAGAACACTACAGTTCATTATGTGTAATTCACTAAAGGATACTTAGGATTCACTGAAGGATTACGTGTAATTCACTAAAGGAGATTAATTTGGCCTAAGAATCCAGATCTAGAAACTCAGTCCTGACATTTTAGGCAAATTAGGAATCACACCCGAATTTTAAAGGGAGTGACTGACCATGGCCACAACCCGCTGCAGGAAATGATAAGTTCTGTGTTGGTTGATGTTTCTGAAGCTGTGTGGAAAGTCATGCTTTTGTCAGGTGTGAGTTTTGCGGTTCACGGGGCTAGAAGGACAGAAGTTTTGGGTTTCTAGGTCTGTGACAAATGGGACATTAAACTAGATAGTCTAAAGTACATTTTAGTATTAAACAGTGAAGAGTCAGTAAAGTAGGAATTCCGAGTAGAGGTAATTCTGGATGGAGGTTCTGGTTCATTAAATTCTCCAGTTCAACAAAGTGCTTGAGCACATGAAACTTGATATTGACAGATAAATGATCCAGGAAATAGTGACATGAGAAATACAGGTAAGAAATGCCAGAAATGGGTTTGTCTTTAAGGAAAGGCAAGCTGGCATATCTAGTGAAAACCATCTCAACGCCAGATGTTTAAGAAGAGATTTTTCTCTTTGAAAACTGTGCTACTCGGAGCTGACATGGGGGGCTTTCAGGCTGTACCAGAGTTTGTGACGTGAGTCAGTGTGACACATCTGTTCTCACCGAGCTTGGAGAAAAGGATTGAGCAGCCCTGCCTCCCCCAGCTGAGAGGCCAGACCTAGAACACAGTGTCTGCTTCTAAATGCTCCTTGTCAAGCTCCGAACGTCTCAGTCTGAGATGTGACTTCCAAATTGTAGTTGTTACAATTCCAGTCAGTTGCTAGTCTACTGCTGCATTGGCTGCTGTGCCCTCCTTTTAGTAGAATAATCCGGGTGCTTGTCTTTTAAAATTTAAAATGGCTTGTACGTCTTGAGTAATCAATTGTCCAAAGGACAGCACATTCCTGTTGGACTGAAGCACTTCTATGGCTGTAGTCTGTCTGTCTTCTCACATAGTCATTTTCTTGGATGGGAGTCATCCCCTTGCATTGTCCTCCTGCTTCCTTCTCCCACGTACGTACAGTTGAAACAATGAAAGAGGCTCAACAGTTGCTTGATGAGGCCCAAGACAGGAGCTTCTTCTCATTTCTATATTTTCCAGGCTGAAAATGCTATTTTTGTGGATTCACGCATCCTGGCTTTTTTAGCACCATGTCTGTACAGCTACGCTCTAGCTACGGCTCAACTAAGCAAGCCAGTTCTCCGTGCTGTTCTTCAGGCCTAAGGCCACTTGGCCACATCCATACTACCAGGCTCTCTGAGCTTTGTGACTTGAGTGGCTGCATCCAGAGTGATTGTGGTTTCTGTTTCATGCAAAATCTTGAAAAGAAAAAAATCCTGGGAACTGGTCAGGAGTGATCTGGTTGTGCTGTACCAAAACTGTGCCAGAGACAGTTGCAGTGATTTAATAATGCTGCAGACGACTGTGTAGATGCTATGATGCTTCTTCCTGAGCACTGTTTAATTTATGAATACTGACATGACTATGCCCTCTGACTCAAGGATAGACCTGTTCCCATGGCCTAGTCAGGTCTGTGTCGTGAGATGTTACTCCCCCTGAAGAGATTCCCTTGCAACACCCCCAAAAACCTACCCGCTTCGTTTACTGTGATTCATGTATCTGAAAAAAGTCTAAATGGAGCAACTGAAAAAGTCTTGTCACTCTGTGGCTCGTGTTGGGGATTTCTCAGTGCCAGTGCTGAAATGGAAATAAGGAGTGATCTTCAGAATTTGTGGAGAGAAATAGGCAGCCCTGTCCCTGGAAGGTCTAGCATAGTTGTGACAGCTGCCATCCCTCTTTTGGTTTTCATAGAGTCCTTGGAATTCTTCCTTGACTTTCCTGAGGCTGCTGTTTGTGTGCTCTCGCTTGTAGGGATTGTACATTAGCTCTGTCATGTCTCCTGGAGTTTGAGTGATTTCTTTACCCTGCTCTCCTGCAGGAATTGTAATAAACCCTTGACTCATAAGATTCACAAGAAGGATGGAAAATGCCTTGATCTTTTTTCCAAGTTCTGTCTGCCCTCCATCTGCCATCCTTCTTCTCAAGATCTTGAGTTTTGAAGGAGGTGATCTTGTCATTTGTATGCCATTTGGATCTGTAGTGAGGAGACTTAGGAAGGAAAAGAGATTAAGGGAGCATATTGTGATTTTTTTCAATTCCATTTCTGGGCTTTGCAGCAAATACATGTTCATTGTTCTGGCACCTCTGGAAGGTTAGGAGTTAAAAATGCTTTTGATGAGCCACCATGGTGATTGAGTTACGTGAGAAGCCTGCCTTTGGAGGGGAAAAGGCTGTAGACTTATTTCTTTAAATGAAAGCTCAGTAGTAATTGGATGTGCTGCACTTTCCTTGTTAGGGCAGGCGATCTGTGACAACATTCCAGGTTCAAAAGTTACTAACTTCAGAAACGGGACTTCAGTCAAATCAACTTTGGTCCTACAGGCTACTAGAATTTCCGCTAGGTATGTTTTTATCTTGTTTTTTTCAAGGTAGTAACAAAAAGTTAGGGCAACTTGAGCTCTTTGTACTTAACATTCAAAGTTGAGATTCATAAATCTCACATCACAAGTGGTTAAAAGTTCTCCAGAAAATCTCAACCTCTGGCCTCAACAGTTTGGGAATCTGAGATTTCTGCCTGGTGGATACTTAGCAATAGGCAAAATTTTGTCTGAAATCAAGTTGCAGCCTTAACTGCAGAGCAACCGCTGTCTCTCTGTAGCAGTGGTTTCTCAAAAGCAAAAGGGTACTAACTGCAGGTTTGTTGGAGAAGGTGTAGAAAATGCTAGTAGAAGACAGAAACGGTATTTGAGCACATCAAAGAAAATAGGCCTTTCTGCTACATAGTGAGACAAGCGTTCGTGGGAGGTTGCCTCCTGAGCTTGTTTGGAGGTGGACTGTTGGGCTGCCAGCTCTGTCATGTGTGTGGCAGAGTTTTGGACCAGAATTGGACTTTTCTGCATGTAAGGTGCTTTTCGTGTGCCACAGAGAACTACTGAACTGAAGTATTTGCTTTTACATTTTGCCTTGTTTTTAGTCTGCTGGAAACCATGTCTCACTACACAGACGAACCAAGATTTACCATAGAGCAGATAGACCTTCTTCAGCGCCTGAGACGTACAGGAATGACCAGACATGAAATTCTCCACGCGCTGGAAACCTTGGATCGTCTTGATCAAGAGCATAGCGACAAATTTGGAAGAAGGTCTAGCTATGGAGGTGGCTCCTACAGCAACAGTACCAACAATGTTCCAGCATCTTCCTCTACAGCCACAGCTTCAACACAGACCCAGCATTCTGGGATGTCCCCGTCACCGAGCAACAGTTACGACACCTCCCCACAGCCTTGCACTACTAATCAGAACGGGAGGGAGAGTAACGAGAGGTTGTCTGCATTCAACGGGAAGATGTCACCTACCCGCTACCCGCTTGCAAACAGCTTGGCTCAAAGGTCATACAGTTTTGAAGCTTCGGAAGAGGATTTGGACATTGATGACAAAGTGGAGGAGCTGATGAGGTTAGTAGAAGTCTTTCTAAAAATTTTGGAAAGCCAGAGTGAGAAAGCTCTCAGAAGAAATCTGCGTGTTGGAGGACTGCTGGAGTACTGATAGGTATTACCCAGAAATCGGGCACTGCTTTAGACAGTTATCCCTCTGCTAGTTCCCTAGGAGTCACTATCTCAGTACCTCTCACCTGCCTCTTAGTCTTGTGTAGACAACACCTGGCTGAGTGTGAGTATCCCACAGTCTGTTTTACTGTTGAAATATTTTTTCCCATGCCGTACCAGAAATTGAAACTGATGTTAGTGCACTAATTTTCTGCCCTACTCTTATTCAGAAGTCTTCTGAGTGTCAATTCACATGACCCCTCCTCCACTACTTCATACCAGTTGTATTTCCTTCCATATATAGGGGGAATAGGGAATCTGCTTGGTTCATACTTTCCACTGGGATCTGCAGAGCATGTATGTTATCTGTTTATAGTTTGTGGTAGGGGCTGACTCTCTCTGGGATTTGCAGTCTGCAGTTGGCGTAGGAAAATAGAAATAATACAGAAGAAGCAGAAGTCTTCAGTGAGAGCCAGTTGGGGTTGTTTTTCCAGACTGACCTTCCTTTACTTTTAGCAGCTTCTTTTTCAGCATTATGGCAAAGATGAAAGGAAGGGTTTATACCACTGAGGATGAAAGCCAGAGTCAGTGGGCTTGATAGCAAAAAGAAGTAAGAGGAAAGGCCAAATGTCTCAAAACAATTTTGATCATAATGTTGGAATGTCTTTTTTTTTCCCCCCCGAAAATTGCAGCATTTATGGAGTACATATGAGAGAACTAGGGTCCATAAGCTCCAGGGTGAAAAGATGTTAGAAGTAGTTTAGAGATTTAGGGTAAAGGTGTGGCTTTTGGGGGAGAGGATTAGAGATGAGCAGTAAGAAAAGCTGATCAACCTCATTTACTGTTGGCTGCAGGATAATAGACTAATGCAGGAAGGTGGTGAGTGTAGCAGTATGTAGGAGTTCCCATTGCTGAAGTTAAATTGTTCTTTTGAGTTTCAGGTTCCTACGCGGTAAGTCTCAGGTAATGCTTTTAGTGCTTATTTAAACTGAAACTATTTTTATTTGCAGGCATGTGGATGATGAGTGTTGGATACAGAAATAAAAATGAACCCAGAACATAGCATTTATTTTGCATTTACATTTGCAAGTTTGAATCTGCCTTGATTGGTGCTGGGGCAGGAGGGGAGAAGGGAAGGGACATTGCCAAATAATAAAGCCTAATAAAGTCTGCCCTTCTCAGGAAGGGAGGGAGGAAGAGGAGGGAAAAGTATGTGTTTACTGCAATGGAAATTTGCTGCATAACACGGTCCCTGTGCATCCTCCAAATTGTTTTCTTTTTAGCACAGTTTTAGTCCCTTCTGAACTATCTTTGCACACCTTGTAAAAATCATACAGAGGCTTTAAATAAATGGCACTGTTCTTTCAGTGCAAGCTGTGGGCTGAGAAAGGAGGGGTGGAGAGATAGAGGTTGCGAAGTCTTTTCTTCTTCGGGTCCTTTCCTTGAAAGGTTGGAGAAGGTTTGTGTATGTATATTCATTTGTGTCAGTAACCATGCAGACCCTGCTATCTTTTATTTTTTATTTTTGTGCCTCATTTCTATTACTGAGATTTTTATGCTGGTATGAGAGATTTATTCATCCCTGTGTAATGAAACTTTGTACATTCCATATGGCAGTGCTGCACCTAATATGAATTATATAGGACATGAGTCATCCATTCTCCTGCTAGGGTACTTTGATCAAACGTGACACTTGCTAAAAGAAGTGTCCACTGGTGAGGCACTTTGACTATTTTAATGCTTGCCTTCTCCACACCTTGTCCCCTAAATAAAGGAAATAAAACCATTTTGTATCTTCAAAGTGCACTTTGGTCTGTCCGTTCTTTTGTGTGTTCTTCTGGTTTTTTTGTTTTGGTAGGAGGGACAGCAGTGTGATAAAGGAGGAAATCAAAGCCTTCCTAGCCAATCGGAGAATTTCCCAAGCAGTTGTTGCACAGGTAACAGGTAAGAGCTTGAGGAGTCTTTTCTTCATTTTGGGAAACTGTGTCTAACTGCCTATCTGTGCACGGTGCAGATGTTGGAATATTGCTCGGCTTTCTGCATTGCAGTGCAGATCTGTCAGCTTAGTCATGATAATGTATGCCTTTGATTTAAGACCCATTGTCCCGCACATCATGGAACTTCCCCAGTGAATCACTTTTTCTTTTTTTTTTTTCTTTTTTTGTGGCTTGTGCTAGCAGATTTTATTTTACAGCATTATAATAAGCCCAAAGTTTTTATCTTAAAATGAAAACGGTTTTCCTTAATTCTTAAATTGTTTGTTGAGTGCAGCAAATAGATGCATATCTGCATCTCTATGTATGGAAAGAGAGATATATAGTATATACTTATAATATAAAATGTATGTGAAAACTCAGGTGACACAGCTATAGCTGGTATCACTACACCCAGGAGTCAGATTATGATAGTTTGTAGTTTTTCAAACACTTGCCTTTAAGTCTCGATTAATGAAAATCAGATGTGAGGTTGAGGGGATGACCATAGTAGCTGAGATTTAACCTGGAAGGAGAAGTATTTCTCTTCTTGCCCTCTGTCTTCTCTCTTTCACATTCAGGACAAGTGAACAGGCTGCTGTGATATCTCTTCTTCCTTGGGTGTTTTCAGAGATTTACACAAAGAGTAACAAAGTCTTATTGCTTCTCCATGGGGTGGGGTGCTATTAGTTCTCCTTTACAGGCTCACGCTGCTTGTTGGGAACAGTGTAGCTGGTAGCATATTTAGAATCATAGAATTATTGAGGTTGGAAGAGACCGTTATGATCCTCTACTCCAACTGTTAACATAGCACTGCCGAGCCCACCACTAACCCACGTCCCCAAGCGCCACATCTGCACATCTTTTCAATCCCTCCAGGCATGGGGACTCCACCACTGCCCTGGATAGCCTCTTCCAGTGCTTGACAACCCTTTTGGTGAAGAAATTTTTCCTAATATCCAATAAAAACCTCACCCTGGTGCAATTTGAGGCCTTTTCCTCTCCTCCTATCGCTCATTACTTGGCAGAAGAGACCGACCCCCACCTCGTTACGCCCTCCTTTCAGGTAGCTGTAGAGAGTGAGAAGGTTTCCTCTGCTCCTCCTTTTCTCCAGGCTGAAAAATTCCAGTTCCCTCAGCTGCTCCTCCCAGGACTTGTGCTCCAGGGCCTTCACCAGCTTCACTGCCCTTCTCTGGACGCACTCCAGCGCCTCAGCGTTTTAGGATGAAGACTTGATGCTAAAATACAGATAGCTCATTCCCATGTTATACCTATAACATTTATTCATTTTTTAACACAAGCTTGAATGAAGATCTTGAAATACATCGTTTTTAAGGTTCCTTGATGACTAGGAATGCCAAACCAGCAGGAGGGAAGTTGTTCTTTTATGATATTTCCAGTATTTGAAATGTCATAAGAACCCATCTGGCTGGGAGCTCTGGGTTTGCAGACATGCAAGCAGTTGAGGCAGGCAGACAGAAATGGATGCTTGAGCCATGGAGCCAGGAATTCCTTCCATGTCTCCAACCCTTCTCTGTGATCTTGGGGCAAAATTACTTGTCATTCCCTGGTTTCAATTTTATCTGTAAAATCACGAGATTGACATTTTGTGTAATTCCAAGAAATGTTATTAGCCTTATCAGATGTTAGCACTAGTACTTAAAAAATTAAACACTAAGTGTAGTTGCTTAAATTGTACCTGAACGCTGAAGTTTTGGTAGCTAGTGGGTCACTCCCCTACTTTTGTGCAGCCCTTGCCTGAATATAGTCCTGGAATAACCCATCTCTGAACTAACCGCTGTATAGCACCCTTCACACCTACCAGCAAGTGAAACTAGCTTCCCCTTCAAGAGAAGTAATGCAAAGAGGAAAAAATTGCAGAAAAAGTGTCTTTCCAAAACAAGCTGGCGTTTTTAATTTTTTTTTTTTTATTTTATCAGTATGCAGGGTCGTTGATCCAGAATCACCCCACCAAAACTAAGACAGAGTCTGTATCAATAAAAGGAACAGATCTAATTATAATTAGCTAGGTGTCTTGCTGCGTGTCTTGATACCCCTGCAGACAGACTGTAGGAAAGTCAAGACCGGTCTCTTCACACCTGATCATTTTGCTCTTTCCATCCTCAGCGTACTCTCTTGGATTTCAGTTGTTAAAGTCATTAAGCTGGCACTTAGCCTTCAGGAGCTTTCATTGTTTGCTAGACTCTTCCTCTTGTTAGTAAAGGACACAGTCCACTTCACATAGTTGACTTTCACACCCATCCCACTCAACCCTCCTGCGTAACATGAGGGGGAATCCAGAATGTACTCACACAGTGTTTGGAGAAAATATTACTAGATGTCTCTTTTGAGCCTGTCAGTGGGACAGAACAAAGACTGAACTAATGGCACTGTGTTATTTGTTTTTTTTTTTTTTTTTTCAAGCCAAATCAATGGAAAACCAGGTAGATCTAAAGGTTAAATGGCTGCGTCCTTTTGCAGCTGTCCCAGTAGTGTTTCCATGGGCCTTTCAAATAAGAAAAGAAAGTGATATTTTGCACATGTTGTGGTTTCTCAAGCAGGGAGAGAGCTGCTTGAGTGCGCTGCACTGTGATGCACCAGTCTCTTCCTCCCGCTACCCTTTGCAGTTGAACTGTGTCATCCTCCATATGCTTGGTGCGAAGGTCTATGGGTGCTGATTCATTTTAAATATAACCCATAGCCTTGTGAAAGCAGATGTGTAGTACTTATGTGCCACTATGAAGTACGTAGTTATGGCTTATCTGAAAGAAATTGTAAATCTCAAAGAGATGTTTGAAGAGACCAGATTAAAGAGTGTGCTCAGCACTACCCAGGGAAAAACATCAGCTTCCTTTCAAAAGCATGGCATGGTGAAGAGTGACTGACAACAGCTCAGGACAGAGATCCAGAGCAGAAAGCATGTGTCCCAGGGCTCTCACTTCCAAAGTTGTCTTAGGCCTGATGAGTGGTAGTTGACTTCTGTATTCTTCAGACATATCCAACATCCCTCCCTATTCAGAGGTGAAACAGGCTCCCAAGAAAGGCCTGGAAACCACTTTTGGTTCATTAAAAAAGCAGTTTGTATAGACAGAGGTAATGCATTGCAGCATGTATCATCCCAAGTGGTATCATTTCAGTATTTACAGACAGTCTTACTGGTGAAGCTGTTCTGTAAATAATTCTGAAACAAGAGAAAAAATAGATAAAATCCAACAAGTGGTCAATAGCAGATGGGGTAGGGAAGGACTATAAGAGTGAAATGATACCTTTTTCAGAATACTGTTCAGCCTCCAGTGATCTGTGTCTCAGGGTCCTCTTGATTGTATTGCACGTTGAGGTGGAACCTTGTTCTGGCCAACGAAGAGGCTGTGAAAGAGCATGAAAGGAGGCAATTTTGCAAGAACAGATCAGCAACCCACAGAGGCTGGTGTGCCTGCAGCCTCCATCGCCGTTTGTTGTAATACAAACATAGCAGGCTGTTTCTGGAGTCTGTAGTGCAGATGTTGAGCATATTTAACTGGCCCATCCACTGATTACCACCCTCCATCAGCTGGGAGTCATTTGTTTAGCCCTTGAAATAAAGGCAGAATAGCGTGGCCTCAGCTTTTCACATTCATCTCTTCTGACCTGGGAAAAGAGGCAAGAAAGAAATGAAGCATTTATGGCTAGCTCTGCCCAGAAGGAGAGCTGTTTGGCTTGGCTACCCATGCTGTCAACTTTCTCCTTTCAGTCTCTATCAATTTCTTCACTACTCCAAAAAATTGTGTGTGTGGAATGGGAGGGGAGAATGGCATGGAGAGGGGAAAGGTGTAATAGTGCATCTGAACAGTGATACTAGACCTTTAGCTAGGAACCTAAACTTTTGCTTCCTTTTCTTAATTACAGCTGGGTTTGAAGTTGACCAAATTGGACATACAAGTGATGAACTTTAGCTAATCCAATGTATTTGCATGTCTTTAAATTGCAAGTCTTGGATTAGCTCATCAGAGAGTATAATGCTTCCCTGGTGCTTAGGACCATATTTGTCCCCATTCTGTATCTTGTCATGTTCTGTCCTTGGTGCAGGAACCTCTACTGCAATTTCTACCCCTTGAAACTTCCATTTTACTTTATTTCACAAATTCTTCAAGCCATTTAGGATTTTGTTCAGAAATACCTTTTTCCTTTTTATCATCTTAATTCTCATAGTGCAATGCATTTGCAGAATACCCATTCCTACATCACCCACAGTCCTGCAAAGCACACTGAGCAGCCTTGTATTTACAGACTGCAACAGTAAACAGCTTTTCCTTTTGTTTCTCCTGTGCTGCAGCACAAGGGGATGGAAGGTGATGGAGAGGGCGGATAGTTGAGAGAGGAACAGGGAGCTGAAGGTTCAAGTCAGCTGTTGCAGTAAAACAATTTTTTAGGCTCTCTTAGTCTTTGTAAAATTACCCGAAACTTTAAAAGTCATTTAGATAATGAATCTGACAGGGAAAATTAAACCTGGAAGACATTCTACAGGGCTGCCTTGTGTACCGAGAGAAGAGGGCAGATTGGAAAATAGTAACAGAGTATTAAATGGTGACTTGAAAATAAAGGAATGATTGATAAGAAGCAAAAACCTAGCATAACACTTATTAGTGCTGGTCCTAAATACAGGAGCTGCTTTTTATAGAAACTTTTTTAATGGTGTCTGTAATAAGATAAACAAGAAGCACTTGGGTTGGGCTCTGTATAAATAATCTCCTACTGATAAGAAAAATGACAGTATAAACAGGAGCTAATAATAGTTCCTGCTGAATTTCCTATCTTGTTATTTGAAGCTCCTTTTAACATAACTGCAGCTTACTTGGGGGTATGTATTTAGCTGTACATGTGGCAGGTGAGATGCCCAAATTTTATCAAGGATAATTTGAAGTCTTGTGCTGCAATTCGTACCTGGGTACCACGTAAGTTATGGTTAGAAGGTAAAGGATAGAGAGATAAATGTAAACTTATTAAGAGATGTTGTCTCTTAGCTTCCAAATGTAGATGGAGGGTGGGGAAAATATTTTCAGAAACTAACATCTTTCTCTTATGTACTACGGAAAAGGAGAGAGAGAGAAGTATACACAGATGAGCCCTTTTCAGCCAGGCTAAATGCTTTGATGGATGATGCCTCTGCGAGGTCTGAAAATATTACCTTTTCTATTTTTTACACATAGGGAGTGAAGGAACAAAAAAACCTTTCTTTCCTGAGGTCACAGTGGAAGCAGTCTGTTGCAGAGCAGGAATTTTAATTCAGATTTTTCAATTTTTAGGCCACTCTCGTAAAAACTAAACCACCATTAAAAAAAAAATAATCAACAATAAAATGCAGAGGGTTGGTTGGTTGTTTAAATAAACCCCTCCACATAACATACATTTTTTTCAGTGTGCAGTTCTACTAACTTTTCCAATTATTCTGCTTGTACAATTCAGCACTGTCCTACTGTCTCTGTCTTAATTGACACAAGATCTTCAGGATTTAGCTTTATAATATGCTAAACACACACAGCACCTAGGGCAGTGGAGGGCAGCCTTGAAGCACTGCTGTAACATATGTAAAATCCCTTAAGGTTTGGAACCTACACATGGGGATGATGAGCAAATGCAAATACAAACGAAGTGAAACTTAACTAGTTCCATTGTGAAAAGAGTTCAGAAAATTACAGAATTACTGATCATCTGAAATGACAAGAAACTGGATTTAAAAAAAAAAAATTTCCTTCTCTCTTTTTTTTTTTTTTTTCTTTTCCTTATACTCATGACAACACATGGAAAGATTTGTTTTTCTGTGATTTTTGATCTTTGCAGGTTCTCTCTGTAAACAAGCTTTGCTAATCTCCTAAATTGATAGATGTCCTTTGCAAGCACGTTTTATATGAATCTAGGACGTTGCTTACAAACTGAAGAATTAAAACAGTCAGTTTCTTTCTTCTCAAATCTGACATATTCCAGGTGCTTCTAAAATCTCTCCTGAAAGAAACATTAAAGAAATGCAAAGTAGAGTTGCTGAACAAATCTATCTGTGAAGGTGAAAACCAGTTACCAAAGACTTGATGAATAACAGTTTTGAGGGTTATGAGCAGATTTTTTCTGCAGATACCAGTTAAAAAAAAAAAAAAATTGCCATTTCTTTTGTTTATTTGAAAGGGAAACTTTTTCCCCAAATAATTTCTGTAAGAGAGAGTGAGGCTGGCCAGAAGAGCATGCGTGTACTGTCATCTCCATTTAGTTTACAATTAGGAAGCGTAACCTGCTATGGGGAGGAGTGACATGTGATGCAAGAAGTCAACATTTGAATGGCTATAATCCTTCATGATTACCACTTCTTCCTTCAGTATTTTCTGTGAGAAAACTAGTTATGCTCATTACAATGTGTTTGTGTCCCTGCTGATGCTGACCCCAGAGGATGGCATTCTTCCTTGAGGTCTGTGGTTCAGTTTGACAGTGAATTTCCTCAAGACAGCTGGATTTTCAGTACTCCAGAGAACTTATTTCATTAATCTGCTTCTGGCAGCAGGATGATTTCTTTTTTCCTGCCAGTGCAATTTCCTAAAGTAGCATGATTACAGACAATGTGACAGGATGGTAGTACTAGTCGTTGTCCCTATGAGTCAACTGTGCAAAACACACTTGAGATGCAAGAAACTCTGACATGACAATTTGGGATTTTGTTTTTTGGGGTTTTTTTTTTGTTTGTGTTTTTTTTTTTTTTTTGTTTGTTTGTTTTAAATTGAAAAGAATGAAGGATGGGTTTGTGATTAAGACACTATACTGGGATCTAGGAGATCCTGGATCAGTTCTGCTATTGACTCAGCATGTGACCTTGAATCAGTCAAGCTGTTGGGATATACAGTTCTGGGGTCTTTAAACCGAGCTGAGGTACAGATGAAAGGTATTTTATATCTTAAAAGCAAAAAGAGAAGGAGTGGAATAGGTAGAAGCCTTTAAGAAGCTCAGCTTTCATTACAGATCTCTGAAACAAGGTAAGAGAATAATAAAAAACAGAAAAGAATGATAGGAAATGGGACTCGAAAGGGTTTTCTAGAGGTCATCCACTGCATTCCTATGACCAAAACCAGGATCAGCTGCCTAAGCCATACCTGACACACCGTCTGGGTTTGCAGCATTGCTACAGAAGTCTGCTTGCCAAAGAGCAAAATGGGCTGTGGGCATTTTGCTAATTCAAAAAACTGCCATGGACTGCAGTGCCATTCACGATACCATAGTCAAATAATAATGTACTGAGAATTTATAGTGCATTCACTGAGTCTCTGCATCTTAGTGTCCTTTACAAAACTCCATTTCGCAGAAGAGACTTTATGAACTGTGAGGACTCGCAATGAGTCAAGCGTGGACATGGCAATACACAGCTTGAATCTTTTGGCTCCTGCTCCTTTGCTTTGTCTCGAGCACATTGTCTGAAGTAACTAACATCTGTAGCACTTTATGACAGTATCAGGCAGCCTCTTGAGCAGAATTTGGATTTTCCACTAAAGGACTCGAATGCCTTGCATTTATATCTTTTGTTGTTATCCATACACTCAACAAACACTAATTCACTGCAATAAGTGTAAATGGACTGTAGTAAACAAGTAAGTTAATCGTGCTGTTACCCATTGATTAATAGGAGCCATGCAGCCAAAAGCAGTGAGACACAGACATTTGTGTCCAACAGCACTGTGTTAAGGAAATGGCTTTTATAAATCATAATAGTAGGTGAAGGGCTGCAAATTCTCAAAACTTAGTCTTTTCACTGGCAATCAGGCATCTAGATTGCATGATTTCAACTAGACTGAAGCCTTGTTTAGGACCAGAGAGTTTTATCAACTTACATTGACTTCTTTTGGTAGTAACTTGTATAAGCATACACAGTTACTTGATACAAACTTGGCAGAATCTAAGGTTTGTGTTTGGTTGAATAATTCCACTTCCCTAGTACTATAAACTCAATTATATATCCCGGTGTGGGCCCCGGGGGTAGTCAACTCTTGCCTGCCTCAGCTGTTTCTGAACTCTTTCAGCTGTGGGGCAAAGCTCTGGGAAGGGGTGTTAAGAAGATCAGTAGATGTATGGGAAACAAAACCCAACCAGGGTAGGTTTTGTGGGCAGAGCTCTGTTGGATAGCAGTAAGCTTCTGTACTCGAAACAAAACACACCTATCCCTTTCCCCCATGATGATTAAAACTTCACAGGCTCCAGAATTCTGTGTAAGGAAGAACAGTTAAGAGCATAAACCCTGTGATTTTAAAAATCTGATTGGGGTAAAACCACCTGAATATGATACCTGAGAGTCAAATTGAATCATTCTAAAATTAACTGGCTTTAGTGCTCAATGTAAATAAAAAAAAAAAAAAGAGAGCATAGTAAAACCCCCTGTATTAGAAGTGGTAACACTACAGGGAGTTGTTTCTCATGAGTTAAATATGATTATGAGATCTTATAAAACCTTGATGCATCTCAAGAGGGGAGAGGTAGTTTGGTTTTGGTGTGAAAACCAGACTTCTACCTGCCTCGGTATTATCACCGAGCAGGTGGTGGCACAGGTGGTGTTCAGCAGTATATTGTTACTTTGGAGCACCTCCTAAAACTTTAGTTCTCAGGAGAGTTTAGATGTTGTTAACTCCTTCTGATAGCTGAAGAGCCTTGTAGAAAGCAGAGGGAGTCCTCCTACCTGAAGTAGTGCTTCAGTTATTCAGAAAACTACTTTTTTTTTTTTTTTTGGATATTTTCAAATGAACCTACAGTTCACCTCCTAGTCCACTTCTAAACCTCTTGCTTTATTTGGTTCCTCTCCTTCTAATCACTTCGTTTCCCTTTCTGCATTGATCCTTCATTCAGTGTTATGCTTTGGAAAGAAGTGTATTAACTTCTCGGGGTTTTTTTCTCCTTTTACTGTTTTATTGCTTTAAAAACTCTGGAACTTCTTGTCCCTAATCTTGCCTGGGTACCTAGAGCTTGAATCCTGCTTTGCTGACAGAAAGATGCCCTTTCTATTTTGTTTTCTGACCGTTGTTATAGCTGCTGATAGTTGGCTTGCTCCATTTCTGGGCTGATTTGATCTATATCACATAAACTGTTTCTATGTTTATCTCCCTTCTTATTCAAGCACTGGATGATAATGATCTCATATCATTTATATATAATAGTAGGCAGGGGACTTGTTCCCATTTCACAGATGAAGTTTAAGAACCCGGGAAGTTGTGGACAATTCAAGTCAGCAGTAGATTCAGCTTCCCAATTTGTGACCTATTTGTAGATTGATTGTGCTGATTCCAGGCTGTACCTTGAGGAAGGTTGAAAATAACAACAGGGATAAGTTAAAGCAGGTAGGGACGGGGCAGGGGTGGGAAGTTTGAACTCTACTTTCTCTGATTGAACCATTATGAGTTCCTGGGCTTTGTAAGACAACACCTTTTATCAGTATATAAACCACTTTAAAATGTTTTAAAAGGAGCAAGTTTTCTCTTTCTCTCTCTTTTTTTTTTTTTTTTTTGGTTCTGTTCTGTTTTTTTTACAGGTATCAGTCAGAGCCGGATCTCCCACTGGCTGTTGCAGCAGGGGTCGGACCTGAGTGAACAAAAGAAAAGGGCATTTTACAGATGGTACCAGCTTGAGAAGACAAATCCTGGTAAACAGATACAGCCTAAACATCTCCTGTTGTTTTATTTATGGAAAAGAAGCCTTTTGTCACTGGTTTTGATTATAACTGATCGTTCGCTTCTTGATCTGGTGTACTGAAGAGATATTCCCTCTGACCAGTTTACTTTTTAGGAGGGTAGGAACAAATCTGCACTTTCCTTTGCAGCAAATGATGCAGAGCTGGCTCATCCATTGCTCCAGTGCCTCGGTCACCATCACTTACCCTGTCCTCTCACTGCTAGCTAACTCTGGGCATTGGAAGCCATCAGTGAAGTTGTAGTTTGCTGATACAAAATACATGCTGAGGCTCTTTAGAACGAACGAATAAAAATCGTTCATAATGGCCGCATAATATCAAGTTGCAGCAAAAAGTACACAGTTCAGTGGAGAGGAACTTTGGGATAACTTCAGAGGGTTTTGGGTTGGATCTCAAGCTTATAGATGGGATGTTGATAGTTACGGTGATAAGTTGGAGATGCGTCTTTCAAATCCCACCTGTTTCTCCAAATCTCAAAATAGATCTTAAATATAAAAAGAGAAGTAAAGCTCCTCATTATCTTTAACTAACCAGCAATCTTCAAAATCACAGTTGAATTAATTTCCTTGCATTGTTCTTCTCCATAGATGTTGTTTGACCAACAGTTCTTATTTTTCCCGTTAGCAGTTTTCTTATAAAGATCAAAATATTTACGTTTAATTTCCTTTAAACAATGGCATGATTAAATTAACTGTGTAATTGTTTTAAGGAATTTAAGACTCAGGCTCTCTAATGTGAACTTGGCTTCACTATCTAGAATTCTATTAAGAAAAATTCCAGTGAAAACAGATCCTTGAAACTTCTGCTGTGTGTGTAAGCTGAAAATCGAGAGGCTGCAGTTGTCAGTTGGCCTGAGAATACTTCAGCTTAAAGTTGGGTGGGTTCACAGTGACAGTCGAGCCAGTCCTTTCTGTTAAGTGGCTAGAAAACTGTTTTAAAGAAGGAAAGTACCAAAGGTTGTGAGGTGCCAGCAAGGTGCGGGGATCAGAAGGAAGCCTTGGTTGTGCAGGGGCTGGAATTGTGATATGAAGGATCAGCAGTTACTGGATACAGCTGTTTGGTATCAGCTGCTTTGAAAACCTCGAGTTGTACCCTACGAAGTAACTCTCGGCCATTTCCCTTTGATGGAAGGTATTGCCTCCAAAATATTGGAGAGAACTAGTGGGTTTTTGGAAGGTGTGTTTGGGAAAAAAAAGCCCCACAAAAGTCCTGTCCTAATGATGAAGACTGTTTTGTGGATCTTTCCTTACAGCCTTTCATCTTTCCTTGCCAATGTCGTGTGGAGGTGTTTAAGAAATAGTATTCTGTGCTGGGATAAGAGAAGTCTTGTCAAACTTAGCACTAAAAATCTTTACTTCTGTCTCTTAACCTTCTTTCTTTCCCCGTATCCACAAGCTCACATCTTGTTTGACCTTTCGCTCTTGCGAAGTGTCTAAGGAAGACTTGGAACACTGAAGGTTACGGCTTAAATTGAAATGAATCGACATTAACCTCTACTTTTCTGATGCGCTGTCTTGCTGGGGTCTTGTTCACTTTTCCTTATACACATGTGGAAAAATTTCTTGAAGAGTGGTTGTCTGAGTCTAATCTTTTTTCAAATGAGAGATCTTGTACAGCATTTTCAAGAAGTATAAAAGGCAAAATGGCTTCTCTGCCTATGCCAAGGGACTATTTGGATACACTTAAATTCTCTTTAGAATCAAATAACATCTGTTTTCTTTTTAAAGACTGAGGTTAAAAGGGGGAACCCTCAGTTTTCCTGTAGCTGTTGGAAAAGTCTACCTGAGGAAAATGTTGTTGTATTTATTTATTGTAGGATAATCCACTGCTTTGAATGATTGCCACCTACTATACTGCAGGTCAGACTGACCAGCCAAGAGATATTTAACATCCATATGTGCAAGTGTTTACAGTGTATTAAGGAAGGTACCAACCTTGTCCAAAGAATCCTGGATTTAAATTACTGTTACAAAACCAATTTTGAGCCAAAATTTTTGATACTACTTATAGTATCCTGTGATTAGTAGATTCTACTAGCTGTTCTGCTGCCTTCTTTAGAGTCAGAAAATTGGGAAATCAGTAGAGCCCCCTGCTATGTGCACAAAGAAGCGATGCCATCACTGTGCTCTCTGTAGACTGTGAGAGATTGTCCTCCTTCGAAGAAATCTAAGAGATTAAATGACTGGCATGTGTTTTTTCCTATTCACTTCGTTATTAGGAAGTGACATTCGGTTTTCTATTCTTATATATCCCATCTCTGTCAATTCCAGCTACTGGGAATAAAATCTTAATCCTCCTTTGATAGAGGAAGGTGTCTCTGCGCCTAAGCACCTATGTATTTGAGTTACCAATGGGCAAAGTGAGGTCTTTGGGAACTTTCAGTTCCCTCAGTTCTTTAATTCCTTATTTTAGAAAACTGAATCATCAGAGTAAGACCACTTTCTGACTGAATTTGTTTGTGTAGTAATGGAAAGAAAACTTTCACTTAAAATGGAAACGGTTTTGAAGGACTAAGATGCCAGGTATAATCAATTTAGCAACTGTAACGGAAGGATAGTTGTTTCATGGAAAGGACTGGAGATCACTTGGCAGACCTGTAGTCTTTTCTTGTCTCTGCCAGTTTCTCTGTACGACTCGTAGCAAATGATTTCACCTTTGCACCTCACTTCCCCAGCTCCTAGATAAAGATGAGACCATTTCCTGTGCGTTACTTGCCTGCCTTGCCTGTAAGGTCCTCACAGCAGGGACTGTCTTTTACTATGCTTATATAAGCAAAAGATGACTTATAAATACATCAGCATATATTTTTATCTTTATTTTTTCAAATGTACAGTGGTGCTATATGATGCTTTAAATCATCCACAAGCAGTGCTGCATCTGCTAACCAAAGAACTTGGTGTTGTGGAGGCTTAGGGCAGTTTTGAGACATTGCTGCTGTTGAGACGTTGCTAGATGTTACTCCTATACAGAAAAGACTCAGCAATCCCATCACTTCCGTTATTTTTTTTGGTCTCTTGAATACGCTGTTTGTTGTTCACTTCGTTTTGATTTCTTATTTGCATGGGTACTTTCTGTATTTCTCCTGTCTTCGGTGGCGAGTGTTCAGGCAACAGCAGACTGGAACATTGCAAAAGAGGCTTAAGTCTCATGGATCAGAAAAAACAACCCGAACACCCCTCAACTCCCACTGTATGCAATAATGTTGCTCAAAAATTTCTTGATCAACATTTTCCTGGTAGGAGTGATGTTGGAGTTAATAGCAAAGCTGCAAATTCCAGTGTACTAGTGATGGTAAATTTTTCTGAAACAGTTGCCAATTAGGGTGAAAGACACGTTTTTGTTGAAGGGAAGAAGTCAGTGCTAAATGCTGGTGTTTGAAAGGTCTTTAATCCAATTAATAGGGATGCTTTTCATTTAGATCAGGCTTTATTTGGACTGGCACCACATCTCTTGTGTTTTGCAGAGGACTGAAAGCATTTTGGCAGTAGATAAATAGTATATATTTCAGAAGCCAGTATATGAGTGCAGAGTCCTATAATGTACTGATTTCCGCCCCCCCCCCCCCCCCCCCCCCCCCGAGCCCATGGGGTTTAAATAAATAAATATTTCTTTTTACGTTGGTAGTTGTTAGCCTAATTAGTTTGGCTAGCACTGGGTCTTAGGTAATGTGGAAAGTTTGTTACGGAATAACTTTAGCATGTCTTTTGCCTCTGTGTACTGTAAACTGAAGTTGGCACCTAGAAATGATGTGTTGAAGTTACAGATGGATACAGACTGCTTCCATTTAGGCTGGATATTTCTTTCTGCCAGTCTTCTGTAATAGGAAGGCAGCTGTGGTCACCTTGGAGAAAACCATGTGCTCTTTCTCCTTGAACAAAAGGGATAAAGAAAGGTAGTTATTATCAAGATGTAGCATCTCTTGCGTTATTCCCATAGCAATTTTGTTTAGCTATACAAAAAAGCTTACCAAAAAAACCCCAAAACAAACAAGCAAAAAAACCCACCCACAAACTAGGGGCTGGATATCCCGGGAGATTGCACTGAAAACATATTGCTGGTGATTTACTATTTTACAGGGCTGCAGAGGAAATTGTCCCTGCTCTGATCCTTTCCACCCAAGAAGTGAGCTCTGTAGGGAACCTTTTGCTGTGCAGGCTGCTGATTCAAATGTAGCCTGGCTCAGTAGTAACTGAAAGGTGGTTATCGTGATCTCGGGTCAGTCTGGCTAAAAATGTAGCATGACATCTGTTCTTATCAGTATATGATAGGTACTTGCTGGAAAGGCTTGCTGCTAAATGGCTTTTTGGAGCTGGGAGCTGGCCGGAGGCTTTGCTCCAACCATTCTGCGCATCGCCCCGGTGTGGCAGGGCCTCTCTGAGACCTGTGCTGTGGGTCAGCAATTGCATGGGATGCTTTTAAGAGCAACGCTCTTTCTGCAGGATAGCATCTGGGATGTGCTGAGAGGAGGCAGGCCTTTGCCCTGAGGAATTCTGAATACAAAGAGCTGCTTTCCAGTTGCGGAGCACCGCTCTTGCCTCTTCTCCCCACCTGCAGCATCCCCAAAGTCATACCCCACATTTCAGAAGATGCTGGCCTGCACAAAGAAGTTTCTGTATTGTTGCAAGAGGTACTCAGCACTGGCAGGTAGTGAGAGCTGTCGCTTTTCATTTTTCTCTGCGAAAGGAGTTCTTCCCAGACAGTTCACCTCTATACCCCTTATAGATGTTCTTGCTTTTTGATGCATATACTAAGATGAAAATCTCATACTGCATTCGCTCTGCTCATTCTGCTCTAGAGGGAAGTTTCGCTGCTTCTTAAAGGCTGTTTGAGGGGTTTGTAAAAAGAATCTGACCTAGTAACTAGGATGTAACTTATTAAGTTGTAAAGAAGTGGATTTGGATGGCAAGAAGATTACAATGAAGCATTGGAGCAGCAGAATAAATGCGATCCCCAAGTGCTCACTTAATTGAGGGGGATGAGGAAAAGCTCCATGGTTACCTTATCAAATGTGCAACAGCACATATGTCCACCACTTTAGCCACTCAGAGATCCAAGCACATTTTGGGCCTCTCTGTGCATTCAGATGCTTCCGTCTTTATGTGTGTGCAAAAACAGTGGTGGGTACTTGCTTGTAATTCTCAGCATACTTCTCTCTTACCTGCTGTGGATACTGATGTTACCTCATAGAAAAGAGAAATAGGTAAATTGATCTAGCAGGGCTACTAAAACGAGGGGGAAAAAAAAAAAAGGCATCTTGTGTGCAGTAAGCAAACGTATCGGTAGCAGGAGCAAATTTATGCTTTAAATGCAGATATTTTTTTTTTCAACCTTTGTCTGAAAAATCTTGGGCAAATTTAATGGAATTACTCTGCATCTCTTACCTTGATGTTACGCATCTCACTGATGTTCCTGTACTCTCCCTGTGAAATGAAATCCTCAGGTAGGGAGAGTATATTGCTAAGAAAATGGGGGGAAAGCTAATTTCTTGTCCTGTTCTCTCCTGCCTCTCTTTTAAATATATATTTTTTTAAAGTTTATTAGTTTTTGAAGCGTACTTAAAGCCTAGCATCTTGACCCAGACCCCTGAACTATGCAAATACTAGAAAGAGTAGATAAGGAACTTTTCCTTAAAATGGCCTCACAATGAATTGGCAATATAGGAAATGTTTCATGTGTCAGTAAAACAAAGTAATCTGTGTAGGCTCGTTAGCTGGGAATAGTAAGAGTCACTGTCTGTTGTACATGTAAGGCAGAGATTGTGGACTTAATTTCCTATAGACTTCTCCTGGATAAAATTTGTAAATTATTTTGGGCTCCACTACCTAACACAGATGCAAGCCCCTGGCAGTAAGGAAAATACTCATTTTGCATTTCTGGAAAGGAACATAGCCAAATGCATAAATAGCTAATTTCTTGCTTTTTAATTGTAGGAAGTTGTTTATTGGTTAAACTCTAAGTTCCCTTAACCCTTTTACTCTGTTTTAATTAAACAAGCAGTGTTGCTTCACTAACACAGTATGTTTTTATGATTGAATCCTAACCATTTTGAGCAAGTCTATGTACCCAGAGGGATTTGCTGTCTCAGCCCTGCTTTTACGTGTGCACAATACTGTATTCCTCCTGTGAGCAGAGCTGCCTGCTTCTCTTGGCTCTATTCAGGCTGGTTCAGTGCATGAATTCCAGTTGAGCTCAGTATGCATATGGGATATAGGTGGTGATTATCTTTTCATGCAACTGGGTTTTTTTATTTTTTGCACACAGAAACAACTATTTCTTCCCTCCAGGGGAAGTCGCTGAGCACAAAGCTGTCCTTCAGAACATACCCTGGTTTATGTATTAAAGCCCTATACCAGGTTCCTATCCTCACCAAGGGATATACGAAAGATCGATCTCCCAGTGTGTCTTGATTTATCTTGATTTATTAACTGAGAGGCTGTTGTGGAAAGAATCAGGGGTAAGTTTCAGAGGGCCTTCCCTGAAGGCATTGTGCCAAATCCTGTCTCTTGCTTGATGCTTTCCAGCTCAGACTTCTTGAAAGGAGAAATATCCAAAGAAGGTGGACAGAAAAGGAAAGGTGTGATGTTAATCTGCTTTCAGTGACCTTTTCAGGCAACCTGGCACTCAGGAGCCCATGTTTGCACAGGTCAGGGTGTGTTTCTATCGGTGGAGCTATTTCAAGTGTTTACTCAGCTCTTCAGACACATTGAATTTGGTATAAATTTACATTTTGCTTCCTGAGACGGTTGTACAATTAAATAGAAACCTATTTCCCATTTTGTGGCGGAAGAGGTAGCAGCACAACCTGAATAAATCCGAGCTTGGGGCACAGCTTTCTGTAAGACACTTTTCCTCTTGATGAAGACAGAAGAGCTTTTCCTAAGTGGTGATCAGCTCAGTTACGTCTCCCTTAGATTTCCATGGTCACCTGATACCTCTCTGGCTTGGAGGTTGGGAATGGGAACTCAAGCTGGCTTTGTGTATCTTTAAGGTGTCTTTTGTTTGATAATGCTTTACTTTTTTTTTTAGTTTGAATGGTTTCATCATCTGTCTTGTCTTTTTTTCATGAGCAGGAGTGAGAAAATGGGCATGATTTTTAATCCACTAGGAAACACAGTATTTATTATTCTTAGGGGCTACGTTAAGCATGAGACCCGCTCCTATCCCAATAGAAGAGCCAGAATGGAGACAGACGCCTCCCCCAGTCACAGCTACCTCTGGGACCTTCAGACTACGGCGAGGCAGTCGGTTCACATGGAGAAAGGAGTGCCTGGCTGTTATGGAAAGGTATGTCACTTTGGGGTTTCGGAGATGGGCATTTTAAAGCCAATACAAGTATCCTTTTTCCTGCTCTGGGGAACACCGGCTTCATTTTCATGGATGTGTTTTAGCATCACGCAAGCCAATAACAGTGTAATCATTTGATTCTAGATGATAGAGTAGGAGGAGCTATTTTACCCCTTCTGTTGTGTAAAAAAACCCTGTTGTACTGCTCTGGACAATATCTCGGGTCTTGTAGCCCCTGAGACATCTTGTCCCTAGCTCAGTGTGAGAGTATTGGCGTTCAGCTCTTCCTTTGCTTTTGCAGAAACCTTTCTGTCTAGCCTAATCCAGGCTGTGTCTTGGTGGGGGTCTGTACACACTTCACATTCTACATGTCTCCTTTCCCAATTTACTGATTTGTCCTCATAAGGTATCATATTATTTTAGAGTTGATACTGGCATTTCAGCAGCACTATAATTGTTCAGGATGCAGAATGTTGCCTAACAAGCGGTAGATTCCTTGTCCAAAAAGGCTCTTACAACCCTTTTACGTGAGCTGGGAACAGTACAGAGCAAAGTGGATCTTTCAAATACATATGCAGAGTGGCAGGCGATCATTAGAGCTCCCAGCTCTTCAGTCCTGCAGAGACGAAGCACTCTCTGAGCCTGGTCTCCTGGCTGCCTGTGCGCTTTGCCTTTCCCTCTGCTTACACTAATGTCTCTTTTGTGGATAATATTGTATAATAGAAAAGGGCTACTGAACTCAAATGTAGTTTAGGGATGAATGCTTGTTTCTGTTAAGGGCTAAATGACTGGGAGGAGTTTTCTTCCCTCCGAGAGCATGAGGAACCTCCTTTCCATGAAAGCACCAGATGACTCTCGGTGCGCACTGCACTCCTCTCTGGTTTCCAACTTCATTGTGTCCTTGGCCAGCAGATTTTTAGGATGTGCTTTTGCCCTTTCTGTTATGCTTCTCTTTCCTCTTGCTTGCACAAGGGTCTTGAGAACTGAATAGGAGCAGGAGAGTGTCTCCTTTTGCCTAAGCTAAGGCCAAAATACTGAGCTCCCTCAGGGACCCAAGCCATTCTACACAAGAGAGAGACATAACCCTGTGTGGCCACGGGCCATCACAGGGGCTTTGCAGGGCTGAGACCAGTAACTGAGTGTTTGTGTCCCTATTCTGTCCTGGCACTGCACTGATGTTTTCAGCTTTGGCTGGATGTTTCCCCAAAAGAAAATAATGTAAATGTTTGAAATCTCTTCTGCTTTGCTAGCCCCAACTAATGCAGAGTCCTGAAGTCTGATAGGACAGGGGACTGCATTTTTTTTAACGTCCCCCTCTGCACAGGCAGTATCATGTGCAGTATAAGATCTTTAGCACTTTAAAATGCTTGTAGGACTGTCCTGATTGCAGTGTGTAGAATGACAAAAGCACTACAGCTCTGTGTACCTTCAGGACAGTGCCATCTCCTTATTAACCCTCTCCCTGTGAAATATGTAGTTGCTCTGAAGTAGAATTAGAGCTCTTTGAGTATTGGTGTTTTCCTTCTTGGTTTCTTTCTGGACTGAAGTGCAGTTACTGCACTTACTTGCTGTTTGAATCATGATAGTGCCTTAGCCTTGTTTGTGCTAGGAGCTGTGGAAACTCAGAGCAGAAGGGGAAAGCATTGCAAACAGGCACCACCCTTTCCTCCTTCAGCCCTCTCCTAAAGCCAGTCTCTGCTGTGACACTCTCGGGAAGTCAGACAACCTGTAATTGTTAGGTGTGAGAATAGGTTTTGTGTATGGAAAGAAGCAAGTTGGTGTTGACATTGGGAATCATCCAGTTGTGTATGCAGACACATAATCACTTGATCTCATTTTTCATTACCCTCTTTCTTCTTCTTTGCAATTCTTGTTTTTGTTCACTGTGTCTTGTGCTCTGCAAGGTCTTTGCTGCTGGGGTTTTCTTCTTATTCTGCTGTTTGATGTAGACTTCTGCCACATTGCCTTAATCCGGGCTTTAATATTCATTTGCAAAGCCCTTGCTAGGTCACCGCAAGCACTGAATTTCGCAGCCTTGTGTGTGGGTCCTGGAAAGCTTGACTGAGGAGTTTTACTTGAGGCAAGAACACAGTAAACTCCAGCTGTGGTAAAAGCTTTGCATGACAATAAAACTACACCATAAACAAGTTTGGAGTATGGTTGTTTAACTCAGACTTTAATAGGCCTAGTTGAGCTCTAAGGATGAGCTGGTTTATGCGACGAGTTTTGAAAGAATGGGAGAAAACCACTCTCTTGGGAGCCCTAGGAAGAAGCTAACTAATTTCGCTTACAAGTCACCGGAGTCTTCCAGGCTTGTCCGTAATATGACTCATAACAGCGGCCGGGATGGAGGTAACAAGACTCCTGGCTGGCTGGCCCAAGCAGATCAGGTTCACCTGATGCCATAGGGTCAGGAATAAGCATTTGGTCGACTAAAATGGTGTTTGGCATTGCATGTGGTCTGGTGCTGTTTATCTGGTAATTTGCATTTTCCTCTGAAGGATAAAGTTTTGACTGTGAGTAGAGGCATCTTCCTCAGTTTAATGGACTCTTTTCCTTAATTAAATGCAAGTTTCATTGCATTGCATTTGCGTGTCCTTCAGCATCTGGATGCGCTGTTGGTGCACGCAGGGATTTAGGCACCTAGTTTTGAGCTGCTTATTTGGGAACCTCAGTAAAGTGCTTGTTCATCTAGGCTTCTCGCTATTCAGCAATGAGAAACAGAGATCCAGAAGACAATTCCATCCCACTAATGCAACTCATAAGGGAGCTATATGCATCTTCCTCTCTAGCTACAAAAGAGGAACCTTCTGCAGTTAGACCTAACTTTGGTGATTTAGTTAGGTGCCTGAAGATAAGAGGGTTGAATCTAGACTTCAATGGAAACTCTTGTGTAGATAATGCAGGACTACTTCTTCCTATAAACTTCTGAAGTGTTGCTGCAAAGCTGTGTAAACATTTTTTGGGTGAGGATCAAAGTCTTGGGCTGTTCTATCAGTTAATTGTGGTATGTGCTTTTGACTTGGATTCAGTTGGTAAGAAATGCAGCCGCTAAGAGTCCATGTGTCAAACCAGCTGAGAGCACTTGAAGGAAAGAATCTGAATTTGATTGCAAAAATTAGAGAAATTTGCTTCTAGAAGCGGGCTCTCCAACTGAAAATGCACAGCACTGGTCAGGATTTGGCCTCTGAATGGAATGAGAAGGGTAAGGGTTGAAGGGCTAGTTTCTCTTTTTTTGAAAGATTTAAATCAACAAAAAAATTCTGTGCAATCAATTATTATATTGGTGCCAACCTGATGTAATTAAGATTAGAGTTAGGGCCAGCACATATACTTAAATGTCTAATGTACATAAGTGTCTGTATACAGGGTATGTGTATTAAAGAAACTAATTGGTTTATACTGGATTTGCAGAATGCTGCTTGCGGTTTCTGTAATTCAATTCTCCAGTCTTTACTGCTTTTTTGGAAATTCTCCCAGGGTAGTTTATTAGTTGCTAGGCTTAGATTTCGGACAATAGATTCAGGTCTCTTTCTCCCTCTCTCCTTTCTTTTTTTTTTTTTTTTTTTTTTTTTTTTTAATATCTCACCGAATATTTATGCTCTGAAGGTTAAGAAGAGCAATAGTTCCAGAAAGTAAAGTTCTATATTTAACTGCAGACTAGGTGTGGTTCAGACAACTGCAGTGCAAGCTCCCTCTCGCTGCTGTGCTGGTGATATCAACCTTGACCTGTTCTCTTCTTGAGCCTCCTGCTCATGAAATATGCTGAGTTTTGTGTGTGGTGATGTTGTCGTGTGGCTTACCCTCCTTTGGGAACAGAGCTAAGACTACAGTAGTCCTTTCTGTGAAAACCTGAGGTTAAACTTTAAAGTCTGTTTCTCGTTCAGTTTCGTGTTCTTCCTTACGTCTTCTCCCAAAGATATTTTTTTTTTTCTTTTCCCTGCTTTACTTCTTTTCAACCCCTCTCATTAGAACTACAAAATTGAAAATTCCCTTAGGGTTTTCTCTTTTTTAATGAAGCTGTGTTGTCTTGTCTATCTTCCCCTTTTTTTTTTTTTTTTTTTTTTAAAGTGATTTGTGCTTTTCCTCTAATCATATGTTGGAGTTGAGGTTTATCTTCTTTTTCAGGCAAAAAAACATCTGAGATCGGCAGCAGAATCAATGACTGAATACCCGTTTTAAGGCACTTTTGTGGAGCGCCATTAAAGTCTGGGGCAGAGGGGGAAGGGGAGTTGAGTGTTGGTTTTTAAGTATATGCTTTATCCAAAGATTAAATTAAAATAACTGTAAATTCTGCTCCAAACAAAATGAATAATTCATCAGTTGAAAGTATTTCAGTTTGTCTAGGGAGTAGGGACTTCGCTTTCTGGTTGAGGGTTACTTGGTTTGATCTTTTGGGTCTGTTTTTTTGTTTTAACACTTGTCTGTGCTCTTGAAGCATCCTTTTGTAAAAATACATTTAGATTTAATAAGACTAGATGATATAGATACCCATTATTCCCATTTCATAGATGGCAAAACAGAGTCAGGTGTTTCACTTGGCTTTGTGATCCAGGGCAACTTTATTCATAAGAAAATGGGTTTAGATTTCTCAAGATACTGAGGGTATAGTTTCATGATATAGCTGAGCTGAATTAACAGTTTGTCACCATCTCATCCTTAGGTGTTATCCTGTCTCACTGCCCTTCTCAATTCCTCCTCCTCAGTTTCCCTGCTCCTGCCTCCCTGCATTGTGCCAGATATGTTTCTTGTCTGATTGAAATACCGGCCAATTCAGCTTGGTTCAGAAAAAATAAATCCTTTTTATTTCCCCCTGAGTTTTATTGAATTGGTTCAGCTTGCTGTGCAGTGGGGGTGTGCCAGAAATGGCCCAGGGCAAATGACAGGAATGCCCAACTGAGAGCGCAGGGGAGGGGAGGTTTAACAAAAAGATTACAATTTTTCCATGGCGGTTTTTTGATCTGCTTGGTTTTGTTCTGATTTTGTTTGGTTTGAGTTGG